TTATCTAGAATATAAATTTCAGAAGACATGATAATCTTTAAACCATTTATTTTGAGCATGTGGAGCTACACAATGGTAAGCCATCCAAAAAAACGTGCTTATGGCCAGTTTCAAACCTGAATTCTACCCTCTGGATTTGTTAGCTTCATTCTGAGTTAAACTTTCCTTTCCCTCAGACCGGTTTTTACTTCTCTGCTGCTGGTGACAGCAAACATCCTGCCTGTCGACCTTAAACATTTTACAGGCACTTTCAGACTTTCACTAAGACAGACAGTGAATCTTGCTGGGAGTCTATCTGAGCCCCATGGAATAGCCTATCCGTTGTAATTCTACAGTTCACTACCAACCGTAGCTGAAATGTACATCACAACCTGGGGTTTGGTTTTTTTCATTTTGTATAAGAAGCCCATGACACATGCAAAATTTAATAATAACAATAGAAAAAATTTCCTTTTTTTTTTTTCCCTGAAAGTGTTTCCTGTGCCACTTTGTAAAGAGGACCGAATGCCATCCTTGAGGCATCATGTGCAGCCTTCCAAAAAGAAAAGCTGAAAGACAAATTGAACAAGCTTTAAGAACTGCAAGTAAAGCAGTTCAGTGACACAATGGTGGAATGGTATGTCACAGGGTTGAGGAATGAAGTCCCTGCTTCTGAGTGGGTTAGTCAAATCAGGGATTGCAATAAAGTTCACAAGTGGTTTTGTCATGGGGTTTTGTGTGTTATCTATGGGGGGGTGTTGTTATAACAAATGTGGTAGTGGATCTGCTCTGCTGTACCTGCTGGAACACAGACTCGTGCAGTGACAGGCAAAGCTACCTGCCTGATTTGGAAACATTATAGCCTAAAAATAATGCAATTGCTATTTCTGACAACCATCAGTTCCTCTGCAAGTAAGCAACTTTTCTTGAGCTGCTGGCACTCCAGCAGACCAGAATATAATACAAAGATGACCTTGTGCTCCATCTCTGTACATCTGTAGATACAAGCAGATTCACTGTATCGGTTAGGTAAGGCTAAATCATTAACTTGGAGTGGCATACCTCAGGGTAAAGGAACACCAACAGGGCCTTTTTGCATATGCTTGCGGAGGAAACAGATCAGAAAAATAAACAATAATCTCTGAAAGCAGGAGAAAGCACAAATCCCTACTATTGTGAGAAAGCGATGAAGAATTAGAGTGAATGCAACATGAAATGGTTCACCACACTGAGTGTGCATATATGTGGTCCGGAGAAACTATTACAGGGCTCGCAAAAAAGTCTTTTCCTCTGAAAAGAGGAAAATAAAGAAAAAAATCATGCTTTGTCTCTTTTTTTCCCTCTTGGGAACTGATACATTGACATCAAAATTGAAATATGTTTAAAAATTTCAAGCGTTTTAAATTTAAAATATTTTTATTTCATTTTTTGGCTTCAAGGACTTGGCTTATTAAGAACAGACTCTTACTGGAAGGTCATTCTGGTTTCGCTTTTTGAATACATTTTTCAAATTCTTCTGAATTTTAAAACATCACATTCTTATGTGAAAATCAGTCTTTACACAGCTTTTACACCTTTGCAGGTCCTATAAAGAGCAGCTTCTTCACACTGTAAAGGTATGTCATTGCATTTTTTAGCTCACTGTCTTTCCATTGCTGTATCATTTTCGAAAGTCAAAAGAATTACAGTTTCATATTACTATGTAAAACTGGACGTACGTGTGACAGCAACACATACATGTGCGTAGGGACCTGGGCTCTTAAGAGTTCTCTCTGAAGAGACCAAGAAAAACAATACGTCTCATTTAGAAAGGAAAAGATGCATAATTCATGCATGTTTATTAATTATTACATTTAACTGCTTAATGCCAGCTTTATGAAACAAATTACATTTTTACCATCCTGATAGCTACTTAATTGTACATGAATAATGAAGGTATAAAATCTTCAAGCAAAGCTGTGACTTTGAATTATGAATTGGAAGGTTTTTTCAAATATCAAAGTTCTACTCAAATGGTCTTAAAGAACATCAGGGGTCTCACTGAGGGAAGGTCTGAGACTACTTTTCAAAAGGTGGCTGACATCATCTACAAGAAAGGCAAAATTTGCCTTTTTTACCTTGCAAATTTAACTTGTGTTAGTGTTCCCAAGCAATGTTAACAGGTTGGAACCAGAGCTGCAAGAAGCAGTTCTGAGAAGTTGTAAGGAATTCTGTACATATGAGTCTGTGCACATTTTTAGCTAAAGGCTTACAATATGAGTACGTCAAATAGTACCTTCAGACAAACTTGTCGGAAGGAATAGGTTTAGGTGCAGGTTGAAGGCTGGCGAGTGCGCTTCTGCACTGCCATCTGGTGTTAGTGATGACGTCAGTGTCTTCTCCGTGACGTGGGGTCTGTAACAGGTCGCACCCTGATTGAGGAGCCCTTTCCTCCGGTTCCTTCAGTTGGCAGGAACCTACCAATAGGTCTCATGAACAAAGAAACCTCACCGGAATGGTATTTTGCTTTCAACTGTTTTGCGGACTGTACTTGTAAAACAGGAACGTTGTGAGGACTTCTGTGAAACCGACACAAGAAACGCAAGTGTTTTCCTCTGAATGGTGGCCGTGCTGGGCTCTTCTCTTTCTGTACATCAGCTTGAGTAATGACAGTCCTGTGTTCCTCCAGTTTCACTTGTGTAATTCCCTCAATTTTTATTCCTAATCCAACATAGTAATGATCTAATGAAAACTGGAATGGGGAAAAACTGGTATAGTACGACCAGCAAACATAGTTGGAAGTCCCCTTCCTCACCCTTAGGGACTTCAGTCAGGCTGCTCAGAGGAAAGACTGTGTAATACCGCAGGCCAATCAGCAAATATGGCACATCCAGTCATCTTGTGACTGAAAAAAACATTTATTTATGCACAAGTTTTGCAAAGAAAAAAAATCAGTATGTCCAATTGTAGTGCATCTCTACACCTGAAGCTGCCAGTGGCTGCAGTACTCCGACCCAGACTACTTGAATTTTCAATAGTCAGGGTAGTTCATGCCATTATCTGAGAAATGTCAGTATTTAATCCATCCAGTGATTCTCTGATAAGTTTTTAGAAGAGTGTATTGCCTTGAACATCAGTAGTTATACTAGGAGAAAAAGAGAAGGAAAAAAAAAAAAAAAGAAACAAAATTAAACCCAAACTGTATGTGTAACATGGTCTTTTCTAAAACAAGGGCAATCTTTCATTTCCACAATGACCTGCTGGAATCTGCAGCCACCCAGCAAACACTGTGCTGTTAAAGGTGGGGAGCAAGAGTGTGTAGATTCATGGCCCTGACAGCTCCTTCCTGATGTTTGTTTTCATTAGATATTAAGGAAAAGGAAATTATTGCTGTAACTTAAAAAATAGTTACATTGGGCTTTTTCAGCTTCAGGATAATCAGCTTGCTGCAATTCAGCCCACCCTCAAATAAATAAGGACAGAAATATATGTTGTTATTAATTCTTTTTTTTTTTATTTGCTTTGTGCAACATGTAAGTTGTTCTTATTCTCAACATAGTGATTTTTAAATCATTCTGTGTACAACCACTGTCCATTTACTGCAGTTCATCTTGAATCTATACAGACAAAACCTTGCAGTTAAAAGTTTGCATTACTAATACTTGATGTATTTACCTCCCTGTTCTCTAGAGTCTAATGGACTCATATTTTATACTGTTAGATGTATTTAGTCAATTTGGCAAAGCAAATATAGATTGAATTTTGCACTTGGAAGGTTTTTTTGCTATTAGGCCAGAAAATTTTCTATATGACATGACAAATCTTTTATGGAACTCCTAATTTGGCCTATTTTGTGTCAGTTTGGATGTTCAGCACTTTCAAAAATGAAGGTATTTAAATGCAGGGTTTAACCATTGCACATGCAGTGTCATTTACTACTTCACATGGGATAGCTTTAAACTATCCATTTGTACATGACTTCAATACATTAAATTTGATAGAAAAATCAGACATTGTTATGGACAATAGCCAGAATACATTTGTACTTAAACAAGTGAGAAGATAAACAATGAGTTTATAATCTACTTTTTAGTTAATAATCCCTCAGAATTGGGGCATTCCGATCTGGAGTCTGTTTCTTTAGGTTGTGGCCGGATCTTATTCAAACACATGTAGTCTTACACAGGTTAATGCTTATGATTTGGTAGCTAAGACCAACATTCATCTTGTTTTTAATAGTAAAATGGCTAAACTGAATATGTAACGTAGGGATACAACTAGACAGTCCTCCCTCTTGATCTTGAATTGAACTAAGTGTCTTTCTGATCCTCTATGCCACCCTTTTTTGTCTGATTCTTCTAATTGGGGCAGTAAGAACTTCCCAATACTCTGCTTAGATGTGTCTGGTCTAATGTAGACATCCACCTTTCTTCTGGAGAAAATAACACCTTCAGTGAGAGTTTTTCCAACCTACTACAGAGGTCTAAGGCTAAGGGATGCTGCACAGTTTTGCTACAGCCTTCTCACTGCAGGGGAAGGTACCTCATTTGTGCCTGGCAGTTCTGGTATACAGAATTCTCCCGTTGGCAACGATACCGAGTCATGCAAAGGCTTCTTCCTTGCCTGTTCGCCTGAGCTGTCTTTGGAAGGAGACACAGGTACACAGGGAAACAATGCACAGCATCATCTCTCACCAGCAAGTTGGGATCTGGCAGTTATACATGGGAAACCGAACTGATGATGCACTCCTGCCACACTGGCATCATAATTCCAGCCTAAAATGGGTAGGACAAAGCGTACTTTTTTCTTTACTGACAAAAAAATCAGGAAGCTTAAATTATAGTTAAGATTGTATATTGAACTTGAAGATGACAATGGTTAAATGTAATTAGTTCCACCTTAAAGGGTATAGTCTGTGTGTGTTTGACGGGATTTGATACATCTGAAGGTAAGCTGGTTTGCTCTCATGTTTATCAGATGGGCAGTTCTTCTAATACTGTGGTTTTCTTTCATAGGTGACACTACTGTATGCCTTTCTTCACATGAGACACAGCTTGAAATATTTTGACAAAATGAGATGCTTGCGGAAACGATCAGCAGTTTCATTCTTAGGAGTCCTTGTCATTTGCTTGCTATTCATGAACTTGTACATTGAAGATGGTTATGTTTTGGTAAGTTTCTAAGATGAAGAAATGATCCTGGAACAACAGAACAAGACACATCCCTGGTTAAGCAGTAAAGTTCATAATTCCTGCAATTTCCCCTGTTAGTGTACCGTTAACAGTGAAGTATCCTCAAAATATGTCCTTTATGATGAAGCCGTCTTATCAATATATACTGTGCACTGGGTGTGTCAGTAAGATCCTAACAGCCCTTTCCACAGAAATAAATATGTCATGGTTTATTGGAAGTATGGGAGATAATGAATGTAGCAAAATACAGAGATATCTCCATCAGGTATCTTCCTTTGAATCAAAACATCCACTGTATTTTCCATACTTCTGGATTTCCCTCAATTTTAATGCTGAAAATTGCCTACATCTGAAATATTCATGTGAGCTAGGAGCTCCTTTTTCAGTCCACAGTGCAAATGTCACCTGTGAATACGGTATTAAACAATATTATAGAAATACAATTATAGAAGAGAACTTACGCTAATTCCATGTATTTTAAGCTCCTTGCATGAATAATTTCTTTTCAGTGCTTTTGTTTTGTGTTTTTCTCACTTTCTGTTTCTCAGTTTTGAGTCTGGCAGGTTCAGTGCTACAGCATTAACAATTGGACATAAATTGTACCTAGTGTAAGTTTATGATTGTGGAAAAGATTTATGGAAAGATTTGTGTCAGGAATTTCAACAAGTAAGCTACCGACAACGTAACATAACTCTCCAGTTTATATATAACCTATGGGTGTCTCAGTGCTGAATGTCAAGTAAGCCCTGAAGACTTGATTAATGGATTGAATTTCCAGTTATTTGGAGGTTGGACTCAGCCCAGTAAAAGAACATGCTAGTGATTTTAATTTAAAATACTTTACTTAAAACATTACGTGTAACAATATTGTAAATATTTACAATATTATTGAGATTATGCTGGTACTTTTTAAACCATTGAAAAGATAACCCATGCTTCTAATGTGTTACTCCATTACAGACACATCGCTTTTTCTAACAGTACTTACACTAAGATTTTGCACTATGTTTTATTTATTTATCATTTCTTGGTTGTGATTGAATTTGACCTGGCTTACCCATTTTTTTTTTCCAGTGGTATTTTCCCTGATGCTTCTCCATTCGCTAATTGCTTCAAAGTCCCCCAGATGTTTCTGAAAGTGCTTTTATTATCACTGCTAATGGTGTTCCTCTTGGTTTGTTTTTTAAATCTTTTCCTGTCCTATTTGCCAGCTCCCCAGATGGCTCCTTGTCTTATTCTTAATTTGCTATTTTTCCCCCTTTTTTAGAAATTCACTCTCATTGCTTCTCTCATCACAGTTCTGGCATGTTTGCATTCATGTAGCTCCCAGCCAAGCCTCTTGCCAAGTCTCCTGACAGTTCTCCCAGATCTCTTGATACCTCTATGGTCCATCAAGTGCTTTTCAAATGTGTTAGGCTGTTGACTTTTTAGTTTGTTTATTTATTTTTATTTTCAACTTTCCTGACCATGTCTGACAGCTCCGTTAACTTGTCTGGTGTGTTTTCTCTGCTGAGGTAAAAGATGAGCAGTGTCAGTGTTGGTGGTGAGGAGAGAGACGTTTGGGGACAGCTTTCAAGAAAAGCAGACTAACCAGTTCCCCTCAGGGAATGTGAATCTGAGAGACTTCAGAGCCCTCTGACTTTCTAATTGTAGTGAGTCTCCTGCCAGAGTGTTTCCTGAAGGTAATTGATAGAGGAAGGCCAATGACTCTGAGTTTCTTCCCAGTCTCAGGCAGCAAGGTTGTGCGAGGGATGTGGGGCTGGTATCTCTTTCACCAGATGTAGGATGAGATGAGTGGCCTTTTTCAGGACGTTAGAATATCAAAGTGAGATTCATTATGGTAAATCTTAAGAAAGGAGAGGAGAACTTCTCCTTCTGACTCGGAGACTCTCACGTGTCCAAAGAATCCCTTCGCTGTATTCTGCAGGGCATTTGCTGTGGAAATGGAAAGTAAAGGCCCACCTGGGAAAATTGGTTAAGAATGTTTGATATGGGGTAGACAGTGCTGATGTATGGGTGTCAGCAGAGCAGTTTATGGTGCTTCGTCTGCAGCGTGTGAACCACATCTGATCAAATATTTTGAAGATACACTGAATCGGTATAACCAGATATCCCAACATATGCAGTGATTTTTTTAATACATATTCTAAGATGTAAGTGAACTGTAAGTGAAGCATGCCTTCTTCACTCTTCTTTGAATACTGACCATTCTTTTGGGCACTATGAAAATGGTAATACTGCTGTAGCTGATGCAGCATCCTTAGTGGAGCAGAATATCTCTATAAAGAATGGGGAACTTCTGGCACTTCGTCCCGTGGCACCCAGAGGAACCTCCCAGGCTCCAGCAAACAAAGAGTGACAAAGCTGGTGAAGGGCCTGGAGAAAAAGCTTACAAGGAGCAGCTGAGGGAGCTGGGGGTGTTTAGTCTGGAGAAAAGGAGGCTGAGGGGAGACCTGATCGCCCTCTACAACTACCTGAAAGGAGGGTGTAGCCAGGTGGGGGTCAGTCTCTTCTCCCCAGTAACTAGCGATAGGACGAGAGGAAACGGTCTCAAGTTGCGCCAGGGGAAGTTCAGGTTGGACATTAGAAAGAACTTCTTCACTGTTAGAGTTGTTAGGCATTGGAACGGGTTCCCCAGGGAGGTGGTGGAGTCATCGTCCCTGGAGGTGTTCAAAAAACGTTTAGATGTGGCGCTTCAAGACATGGTTTAGTGGGTTTATGAGGTTTACTGGGCATGGTGGCATCAGGTATACAGTTGGACTTGATGATCTTTGAGGTCTCTTCCAACCGTAATGATTCTATGATTCTATGAGACAATAGAATGTAAGTTAGAGGTTCGTTAACAGATGAAAGTCAGAATTATCATAGAAAAAATTAAAGACAGCTAAACAGAGCTAGTCAAGCTCTTCAGCTTCACTGACCTCTGCATAGTAGTCAGAGGTAAAAGAACTGGATTTTAAATTTTTTGAAAAATCCATATTTCAGTTTTGCTTTTCATTCAACAAAGGAATGAAAACAGCAACAATTTAAAAAAAAATTGTTATCCACAAAAGACATTTCTTAAAGAAAAAAAAAAAAAAGACTTCTTTTGTAGTCAGTTTAAATATTTTGCTTGTTAAAATCAAAACATTTTGTCCTGATATTCTCTATTTCTCAACATTTTGAAACTTTTTATGTAGAAAAACCTCAGCAGAATGGGTTCCCATTCCAAAATGTTCTTATGAAATGAAGAATTTTGGTGCTCCATTCTGGAACCAATGGCACATGATGTTTTGACATTAAAGAAATTCTAGTTTTAAAAAAAGACAGGTTTGGACCAGCCCCCTTTTTTTTTTTTTTTTCCCCATTTGACAGTTTTCATGGCAAATCTCCTGAAGTTTTGGTGCATTCTCTTCCTAGCCCATTGAGTTACAGTTCAATCTGGAATCTGATCAACATAAACCTCCCTCTCATAACTTATGAGCAAATGCAAAGTAGCATAGCACCACTAGAGAGAAATTCCTGGAGAGAGACTGCAGATCAAGAGAGGGTAACAGTGCAGGTAGATGCCCCTGGAGGTCCGCCAAAGATCCTTACTAAGCTCAGAAGTGGATTATTTACTACTTCTATGAAAGAAAAATAATGAACTTAAAATGAACCTAGGATTGGTTTATATTTTTGTGCTATAAAATATATCTTTGACACTTTTTTGAATATTTATACCATTAGAGTGCTGTTTACTGTTTCTGTGGTTGTTCTTGTTAGCAGCAGTACTATTGCTGCACAATGCTCCCATTTAATGACAGATCAGGAAGTTTTTAGAGAGTTAACATGCTGTATGTATCATAAGAAATTAACTCTTTCATACACTGGCCTGCCATCAGACTAGAATCAAGCCATGTAAATTAAATAAGCATTCCTACCTTTAAATTCAGTCTTGTGTCACTACAACCTTTCAGATATTTTTCCCTTTTCTTAAGGGCTAAGGAATAGATTTTCGCTGAGACCCAGATGAGCTTATGGATAATGCACTGCTGATGAAGACACTCCTTCCCTTGTGTGACTTTACTGTGGCTAGGGAAGCCTCTTGGAAGAAAAAGACAGGAGAAGGAGGCAGGAAGAGGAGGCATGGTGATAAATTTGCCTTTTTTCTATACCATCAAACAGTGTTCACCAAATCCAGAGAAAGCTTGGTGATCACATGCATTTCTTCTTACTACAAACCTGAGTCAGAGCTACTCAGAAAAATGGCAACATGAGCCAGATGCCAGTATCTAGTTTCGTCTTTCCTTTGCAACAGTGCTTTTTTTAATCACTGAAAACATTTTCAAAAATCTCCCTCACTTCTCCATCTATGAAAATTTTCTCATCTCTTGCTGACTGATGCTTTCTTATCCCTATTTTGAATACTGCAGCATTTTTTGGCAATACTTTAGTGTTTGCAACATTTCCAGAGTTTTTGTCCAAAGTTGGTTTTGTTTTTTTTCCCCTGTTACCGTAATCTGAAGGGTTATGGTAGATTTTCTGTAGCCAAAAATGTAGGATATTCAGTAATGAGTTTTTAAAAAAATGAGGTGACATCTACATGCTTTCACGAAAGCTGACACTGAAAAATGTTATTTTCTTGGAAACCTGCCTGTCCGTGTTTCCTCTCTGGCTGGCATTCACAAATGTGTTTCTCTCTGTCTCTCTCCCTCTCCTATTCTTTTTTTTTTTTCTCACTAATAGGAAGGGGACAAGCAATTAATCAGAGAAACAGCCACGCACCAGCTCAACCCAGAGCGCTATGTTCACACTTTTAAAGATTTGTCTAATTTCTCAGGATCTATAAACATTTCCTATCGCTACCTAGCTGGCACGCCTTTGCCAAGGAAAAGTAAGTAACTGCAATCTGAATGTTATGAAATGAGATAATTTAAAAATGAGTGAAATCCATATTGTCCCTGTGTTATTTCTAGGGAAGAGGGGCTGAGTTAAGCAGTGATGATCTCAGAGAGTTAGCGGGACAGCTCTCCCTGCCTAGGCAGGTCCTGGGCAGGTGCTAGTTCAGCCCTAGCAGGGACTGCCCCACAGCCTGGTTACCTTCTGACCAAATGCCTGACTTGTAGTGGTCCTGCAGGCAGCCCATGGATGGTCTGTGCAAGCATATTTTTGTGGATCTCCCCTCAGGCCAGCGGGAGATGATTGAGAAAGCAGGAGCAAGGCATGTGCTGGTGGTGCTCTGCAACCACCCTCTCAGACCATGCTGTCAGCCTCCATCTGTATAACCAGTAAATCCAATCTAAGATATGCTTGGGATCACGTAGATACACCCTTCAGGTCCCCTGTTCTGCCAGTCCAGCAGCTGTGAATGGATTTCCTTGTTCCTTTAGCTGTGAGGGAGGTGAATTGTGCCATTATGAGAACAGTAAAGGAGGATACTTCTCGCAGCCATCTGCAGATGGACTATCTAGTTATTCTGACTTCAGGCAGACTTTCATCTTAAAGTGAAATATGGCCATACCTAGCTTTTAGACAGGTGTCCTTTGGGTTCCAAATCAATCATTTCACAAACGTAAACAAGACTCCGAAGTCCAAGCACAGAAGGTAAAATAAAATCATCTGTGAGTTGTTGATCTTCATAGAAAGCTATAAAGTAAAGTTTGTTCAAATTAGATTTGAGAAATTTGGGGCTCTGTAGGCAGCGCAAATGGCTTCTGGGGGTTGTACTTCACTGTACAACTGCATTTTGGGCAGACTCAAGCCTCGAGGGAAACTCTGAATCACTTTATCAGAGCGGTCTTTTACAAACCACAATAATTTAAGAAAGTAGAGGTACATTCAACTCAAGTACGTGCTGTCATTTGTAAAGTCTTAATATTTTTTACATCAGAAGGTAGAAAAATGGAGCTATATTAGCAAATATATGAAAAAACAGATTTGGACTGCAGATAAAAATGCAATGGCCGTGACTCCAAAACAGCAGACATGAAAATTCTGCCCTTATAATTAAGATGCATCTCTCCCTAGAAAGATGTAACGGCATCAAAAATTGTTTACACAAGCACAGGTATGCAGTAGTAAGTTCTCTTCTACTTTAAAATAATATATAAATTACATATTGCAAGAGGGAGTTCCCTGTAAAATGCTCAATGAGTCCTGAAAGAGGGTTAGAAGAACTGTTAGCAAGGAAAAATTGGACAAATTCAGTTAAAAATGAAGACACAGAAAAAAATTATCCATGCAACATTTATAAAACTGTAAAGCTATGCATAAGTGTAACTAGTCTTGCAGAGTGCTTAAAATTATAAAAGTTTGGCAATTAATCTATAGTTCATGTTTTTGTGCTGCATTTCGTAGTTCCTTGCTTTAAAAATATTGTGTGAATCATGTCTCATAACCACCTTTCTTCCCATAATCACCTTTCTTTTAGCAGATTTTACAGCCTGATCATTGTCTATGTGGTTTCCTCTACTAGGCATATACGTGCACATTGCTTTGGCTTTTGCCCACTACATGCCATTCCTTGCAAATAACAAGGGAATGTTTAATGCAGCAGTCTCCATGTGTCTGTTTGCTTGCAGTACGATTCTTCTTTCATGAAAACACAGTAAACATTCTTTGTTGCATGCTGCTTAATAAATTCAAATAACAAATTTCTCAGTCTTCACCATTCAAAAGTTTTATTTAATATAAGCACAGTTCTGAAGGATAGCTTTGTGGTGAAATGGTTTCCAACGTCAGACTCTCAGTTTTTGCTTGAATTGTCTTTTATACAGGGTATCTTACAATTGGACTATCCTCTGTGAAACGGAAAAAGGGAAACTACTTGCTTGAGACCATCAAGTCCATATTTGAGCAGTCAAGTTATGAGGAACTCAAAGAAATCGCAGTGGTAGTGCAGCTGGCAGATTTTGACTCAACCTGGTGTGAAGGCATGGTCCAGGATATTTCACAGAAATTTGCACATCACATAATTGCAGGCAGATTAATAGTTATTCACGTCCCTGAGGAGTATTATCCTGTACTGGATGGCCTCAAGAGAAATTACAATGACCCAGAGGACCGTGTGAAGTTTCGATCCAAACAAAATGTAGATTATGCTTTCCTTCTTAACTTTTGTGCTAATCTTTCTGACTATTATGTGATGCTAGAAGATGATGTTCGCTGCTCAAAGAATTTTTTGACTGCTGTTAAGAAAGTAATTACCTCACGAGAAGGTTCCTACTGGGTGACTTTGGAATTCTCCAAACTGGGGTACATTGGAAAGCTTTACCATTCCCATGACCTCCCACGCCTGGCCCACTTTTTGTTGATGTTCTACCAAGAAATGCCTTGCGATTGGCTGCTCATCCACTTTCGTGGGCTGTTAGCTCAAAAGGAAGTGATACGTTTTAAGCCCTCTCTGTTCCAACACATGGGATACTACTCGTCTTACAAAGGAGCTGAAAACAAGCTAAAGGATGATGATTTTGAAGAGGAATCATTTGATATCCCTGACAACCCACCTGCAAACTTGCACACCAACATGAATGTATTTGAAAACTATGAGGCGAGCAAGGCTTACAGCAGCATTGATGAGTACTTCTGGGGAAAAGCTCCTTCTACTGGAGACTTCTATGGGATTGTATTTGAAAAGCCCATTAAAATCAGTAAAATTAAAGTTGTCACTGGAACTGAAGATCGGCAAAATGACATTTTGCACCACGGGGCCCTGGAAGTAGGAGAGAAGACTGTAGGGAGTAAAAAAGGGAGACAATGTACTACTTACTTGAGACTAGGGGAATTCAAAAATGGGAATTTTGAAATAACAGATGTAGAGCACAAAGTTTTGTTTGATATTAACTGCATGAGAATACTTGTCACCAAAAGTCAAAAAGAATGGCTGATCATTAGGAGCATTAGCATCTGGACTTCTCAAACACCAAATCAATAAAGCAAAGCCACCTGAGAAGATACAGAGTGCACACAATAAGCTGGGTCCCAACTGGTGCCACTCCCCAGAAAAAAAATGACATTTCCAACTCTTCGCTAGAGACACAGAGAATCTGGGGAAATTACAAAACAAGCAAAGCAATTTATTTTTTACTAGTTTGGCCAGGCAATATACAAACACTTATTTGTTGAAAATTTTGAATTTTATAGGAAATGCAAAGTTCTCAAACCTCTCTTGAGATCTTGAACCCTTTTTTAATTATTATTTCTCTGTAAGAGAGATCCTCTGGACTAAACAGAACAAAAAAAAAAACATCCTATAATTACCAAAAGGTTTAAAGCTATGACCAGTATGTTGTGAAAATAAATTGGATTACACCTTACGCACATATAAATTTAAAATGTTATGGTAGTATGCGTTTGTACAATAGTTGGTGATGTGTTTCTTTTAAAGGTGGCTGTGACAAGGAGAACTGTCCTGAAACTGACAGTTTCATTCTGAGCACTGTAAGAAAATAGAGTGGCTAATCATTGCAACTTCTTTTCAAAAGGGAATGTGTGTAGAGTTATAAATCTGACATGACAACTATGTAAAAAATAGATAATTGCTTCTGTTATTCTGTCTCAGCAAATATCCTTTGTTCTTTTTCCTGGATTCTTTCACTGAAACAAGCACTACTTGGATTCTGTATTACTTAGGGGACCAATTTACTCTCCTTATTGGAAAAAAATGCCTCAGAGTAAGCAAGCATTCCGCTTGAGTACAGATGTCGCTATCAAATGCAAGCACCTCAAGGGCAACACTGTTCTCTTAGACAGGCATCTTAGCAGATCTCAGCTTCCACATTTTCTGTTCCTTCACGGTATACAGAACTCCCCATGAGAAATTTGGACATAGCTGAATACTACAGCATGGTTTCCAAGGACTGTTATGCTTCCCATGTCTACATTCCAGTCCTTGTATGATACAAACATAAAGTGTACCGCGTTAATCAATTGGAGGTGAATGTAATCACCGGTCTTTCCTGGATGATCTCGAGCCAATAGAGCAGATGGAAACTGAAGAATCTCGATTCAATGGAAAATTAATATGCTTTTAAATTAACCTTTATTTTTTCTTCAGTTTTATAATTCTGATCATGTTACTTTTGTACACACCTTCCCACTGCCTCCGGTTATTCCTTGTAAGCTTATTTTGCCTGGCTTTAGCCAATAAGCAGAACAGTTCCCTCAGTCCTCATGAGTTCAGTGTCAGCTCTGGGCTTTTAGTGCATCACACAGGGAGGCTGTATAGCTATATGATTTATACTATATGCATACGTTTGAATTAGCAGAATCCATGGGGGCTTTTTTCCTCTAAGAAATTCTCCAGTCTCTCTCAGTAGACACACTGAGAAATCCATGAGTATCAAGTGTGACACAGATGAACACTGTATTGTCAATCTCACGAATACTGTGGTTATCATCTAATTGCATGTATGGGTTTTGGTTAAACCTGGAAGGCAAGGATTAAATTCCAAGAATGCCTGCACTGACCAAGAGTGAACTAACTTCTGTACTCAGTACATCCAAACCCAGCATTGCTATTTCAGAAGGGTAAATTGTTCAAAAATCTACAAACACAGCAATACAATTGCTTTTTCTGGTTCGTAAATCCTGATAAATTCAGGTCCAGGTTTGGTAAATCCCCCAATACAGAGGTAAGGTACATTTTAAAATAAATCTTCTGATATATGCTTCTATGCAATTCAGAAAAGCATTCTCTTCTCAAAGAAAGTCTTTGTTTCTTTGTTCCTTAATACACCCCTAAATCTCTATTCTTCATATGCATATCTTCAGCAAAATAGATTAAAAGTGGTGCGAATGTTCAATCTGAACAGGAAAATAACACCTTTTTTTAAAAAGAAAATTAGATACTAATCTCAAATGGTTATAAATACTTATGAGGGACTTGCTTTTTAACAGTGATCTTCCATGATTATCAAATAATTAGTTGATAATTAGTCATTAGTCAACACCACTTTTTTTAATGAGCTGTCATTCTTCTATTTTTCCTTTCCTTGATCAGTAGCTATTAGTACCAAAGCAAACATCACTACATTAACCAGGAACATTACTTTTATTCAGAAATGCAGTGTATCCAAACCAATCTTCTAAATCAGAATGGAAAATATACTCAATCACGAGGTTTAAAATGTTCCTGTAATCAAAATCATCCAAAATGTGAATGGCTAGTACAAATAAAAAGCTCTCAACATGGACTGAAGTAATTTAAATGGTATTTTTGAATTGAGAGCTGAACAAAACTGCTTTCATTTTTAAAACAACAGTAATAATGAGTCTCATCTTCAATACCATGGCTTAGCAGTGAGAACTCTCACCGACTGTTACCGGTCGGAGAGGGACAAACCCAGAAATGCCAGGTGAATGCTCTCAAAGGAAGTTTTCCTTCAGTGGTATGTGCTGGGAATGAGAGGCATGCACCACTCTTCCTGTTGAATCTGAGTTGATTTGGAGCAAAATAATTAACAATACATTTATTCCAAGAGAGGCAAGAAAGCAGCTCCGTAACCTAGTGTTTTGGGCACTCACCTTAGTGCATGGGTCCCAGCTCCACCTTCACAGAATGCATATTTTATCCAACTCATTTACATGGAAAAGGTTGCCAAATTTTTTTGGGGAAAAAAAAAGCCATAAAATCAATGACAACTGATTTTCAGACAGATTTCAGAAAAATATGTTTGAAGATATGTTTTTTTTCTTCATGTGCTAAGAAAAGTGATTGCCTTCTGAAAGGGAAATATTTGATCAGACACGTATATGTTCACTAATACTTCTCAAAGTTTGGATTTTCTTTTTTTCACTGATCAAGCAAAAAATTTGCGGTCTCATAAAGCTCCGTTCATTGGTGTATACAGTTGGTTCTGTTGGTGTGCATTTCCTGGATTCATTTATGGACTGAGCATCAATATTTTCATACTGAAATCTCAATACTGAAAATATTACACTGTGGTCTGCACACTGATGGATCTCTTCTTCACCAACATACATGTATTGTTCCTATTGGCACTGTTTGGGTTTCTTCATTGTATAATGTCCCTGAACCTTTTTTTCTTTTCTTAACTAAAAGCCAGTTTGTCGTCTGTCTTTCTTCATATAGTGTAATCCTGCTGACATAAGAAATTCTCGGGAAGTGAAATACTACTCACTGTGAATTAAAACAAGAACCGAGCCCTTAGTTTAGTGTGGAATAAACAAACCTAGAAGACAGTAATTTTCAGGCAAAACAGTTTTAGCATATTTACTATATGTACTATGATCAAGATAATTCACTAAGGTGCTATATGAATGTGTTATTTTTAGATCAATGTTCTAACATGATGATGCTCTGTTTTACTCTCTGCTCAGTATTCTGTTAGACACTAATGTTTTTGCTTTTTTTAAAGGGAAATTTGGAACTTGTTCATTATTGAATTATTAAAAGTTAAATAAACAGCAAACTACAACAACTTAGAAAATATTTCATGTTGGAAAACTATTAAACGAAAAAAACCCATGGTTAACCATCTTAAAAGCTGCAGATGCAACCAGCTTTCATTTTGAAGAATTTCAGAGATTCTAATGGAAATAATAGTTCTTACTACTCTCATATTAACTTTTTCTGTTAGGCTATATTTCAGTAAGTATTAAATTATGATTAGTAATGCAGATCATGTGTCATGAGCTCAGGCAGTGTCGTATCCTCAAATGGTACAGTATAATGTTTTGCAAAACACAGGTGGAAAATATAGATGTATTATAATGAAAACAAATTAAGTGATTTTGATGTCATATTCTCTACACAAAGGCAACTGAACTGAAGTGTCTCCACCACTCCATCAGCTTTTCAGATCAAGTAAAACAAGGGGCTTAATCTTTGTTCTTCTCTCCCTAGTCCTTGGAGGTGAAAACTACAAAATTTCTACTTCTTTTAGTGGAAGCAGGATTGACCTATATATCATAAAAGACTGAAAGTGTTGATTTGGTAAAATAATTTTTTTTTTAATATATAAGCAAATACTTGTCTTATCTTTTCCATTTTAGTTCCATCCTGGAAGGCTGAAATGAAAATAGTCTGCAAACAGATGTATTTTGGTATCTCCGGATGGCATTTTCCAAGTTCTTGCCTCTTTTACTAGTTTTTTCACAGCAAATACATTCTATGTCACCTAGGCATGCATGTCCTTCAGCAGCAGGCTAGATTAAGCCTCGTAGACTAAGGTTAGATTGCTGCTTCTGCTGTAAACGGAGAGAGAGAGGAGCACGTCCAAAGTCATCTCAGCATACAATGGTTGTCTATGATCTGTTTCTCTCTACTGACTGTGGTGGGAGGCTATGCAAGTGGTTTGTCCTGAATGTTTATATCCTAGATAATTAGAGATGCAGGAGATCTGTCTCTTTTGCATGATAACATATAATACGTATAAATCTAGATAAAAACATATGATTCATATAAACTTTTACAGATAATTTCCTATCAGCAGCGCCACTCTTCACAGCAGGGATGTTCAGTATCTTCTTCATAAATACTGTCTTGCAATTTCAATGAAAATAATTTGTTCAGCTTTAAAATAAGGAATATGAGTCTCCACCTTGGATCTAAAGCATTATTTATTACATGTTAGTTTAACAATGAAATTAACTACAGAGAAAGATTAATTATAATAACATTTCCACAATAGTAGTCTTTTGTTAAATTAGCATAAAATTAAATCAGCATCTGGGCAGGTACTAGGCTGTTTTGCAGCCACATTTCTAGATGTTTTTCAATTGTCATGTTACCTACTCCAAATTCACAAGTAAAATTCCACTTTGTCTTGACAGTTATAAAAAGGCTCTTAAAATTCCATGTAGAACTTGAAAGTACTGTAAGTAGAGTTATATTGCTAATTAAACCCTATGCCAACCCTTTGCTGGGCTTATGTAAGAGTTTCACATTTAATGAGTAAAGCTGAACATCAA